GCTGCTGGCCGAGCTGGAGCGGCAGGTGCAGGGCGTGGTGAGGGCGAGCTCGTGGTGGCAGCGGCGCGGCGTGGACTGCGCCATCCTGGCGCTCAGCCTCCTGGCCGTGCCAGCCGGTGAGGCCCGCGGGGTACGGCGGGGCGGGGAGGAAGGGGTTAACTCGAGCCCCCCTCCGCCCAGTCCGGGTTTGGGGTGATCAGCCCTGGTCCCCAGAGGTGCTGGGCACTGGGGGGGGGGCAGGGAGAAAGTGAGGGCTGGAAGGTGGCGGAGGGAAAAGTTAGAAGGGGTCAGGGAGGGGGAGTGGGGAGGGGTGGGGAGGCCTGAGCAGGGGAGAGGGGTGGTGTGGAGTGGGGGTCCCCCGTGGGAGGGTCCCCCTGGACCTCTCTGTCCTATCTGGAATCAGCCAGCCTCACCTCTGCCCCCGCTGGGGTCAGGATGGTGACCCTCTCAGTCTCCTTGGCCAGTCCTCGGGGCTCTATCTGTGCTCCGTGGGGCACATCGCCCCCCCCCCCCCCCCGCCCAAATCACAAGGATACCTGCTAGGGCAGCCCCCAAACTAAACCCACTGGGCCTTTGTAGTGGGTGTCTGTCCCGGCTCAGATGGCTAAGATCTGGGAGCCATGCTGTCCTCTGCCCCCTTCCCCTTCCCCCTCCCCTGGCAGGGTTCCTGTGTCTGCGCTTTGAGAACGTCCTGCTCTTTGCCACCGGCATTGCCATCTTGGGGGTGTGCCACTCCACACTGACGGTCAAGGGCAGTCACCTGGCCACGCACAGTGCCCTCACCCAGTCCAAACGCTGGAGTAAGCTCTGGATGCTTTTCTTTGTGGAGGTGAGTCCAGGCGAGGTGGGCAGTCTTGGGATTCTGTGCAGGCACGCAGGTTTGTACATTGTGTGTGCGCACACAGGTGGGCAGCCGGGGCTGGGTGGTGCGTGGAGCCTGGGATTCGGGATGCACTGAATTCGGGCGTGCATGGGTGCCTTTCCCCAAACTCCTGACAGAGGGTGTGCATCCCGAGGGCGATTTGGATCTGAGCATCTACCTGCAGTAGTAAACTTGGCCCCGGCATCCTTCTTTGTTTTGGGGCCTAAGCACCTCTCTGTAGCCCTGGGCCAAGTGTGGCCAGAGTTCTCCCCTCCCCGCAGGACATTTGCAGCCGCCAGTGCTGCTGGGTAATTGCCTTGCCCCACAGGTATAAGCACGGAGGCCTCCATCTTTTGCAGCTAATTGCATAATGTGTCCCGTGATATAAAGAGAGGGGGAGGAGCCGGTGTCACAACTCCAACACCTGGCCACGGCTGAGCCATCCGGGGATGCTCCCTCCTCCAGCCTCCTTTCCCCTTCCTCCTCCCACCCCATGCTCTGCCTTCTTACCTTCTCACATTTAGTTCAGTCACGAAGGCAAAAGTTCCCTGCTAGCTTATGACTCTTCTCTCTTCTCTGCCAGATGTTTCTCTCAAAGACTTCTTCACCTGACCATGAGGTAGCCTAGGATAAATCAGAACGCTGGAAACAGAAACCATTGCTTTTTGGCAGGAATAGCCCTGTGTCCTGAGATTTTTTTTTTAACCCGTGTTTTGCTTTTGGCAAAGTCATGTAACTTTATGAAACTGTATGAAGCTGGGCATAGTGACACAGGCCTGTAATCCAGGCTATTTGGGAAGGGAAGGCAAGAGGATTGAGAAGCCAACCCAGAAAAAGGTAGTATGAGACCATGTCTCAGAAACAAAAGAAAGCTGGGTGCTGGTGGCTCACGCCTGTCATTCTAGCTACTCGGGAGGCTGAGATCTGAGGATCTCAGTTCGAAGCCAGCCAGAGCAGGAAAAGTCCAAGAGACTCTTCTTGTCTCCAATTAATCACAAAAAAGCCAGAAAGTGGAGCTGTGGCTCAAGGGGGGTAGAGCCAAAGAGCTCATGCTGTTCCTTAGAAGTGGCTTTGAAAAATCCTATCCAGGACTTGTGCCAGCAAAAACATCACCTCGAGGGGCAAGTGAACTCATATCCCTCCACAAACCCTCAGGCCACATAGCTGGCTGCTCACAGGTGAGTGGAGGCTGGCGGGTACCCTCCCTCCTTCCGGATACAGCCTCAGGATGCCAAGTGTTTCGTGCGATAATAGCACGTCCACACACATACAGCTTTACTTGTGTAGACCGGACAGCCAGGTCGTCAGATGGACTGGCTGCCCCTGTGAGTTTACTTGGAGAGGAAGGCCCTGGGATCCCAGGGTTTGTGGAGGGTAGGGGTCTCATGCTTCCCCCAGGCCCCACCTCCCCCTGCCACGGTCTCTGGCTGCCTCCCCAGGTGTGCACAGCCTTCCCCGCCGAAGATGGCAAGTACAACCACGTGAAGATGCATCATGGCTACACCAACGTGGTGGGCCTGGGGGACTCCAGCACCTGGAAGCTGCCCAGCCTCAACCGCTACGTCTACATGTTCCTCGCACCCTTGTCCATCCCCATCTTAACCCCACTGGTGGCTCTTGGTGAGTTACAGGTGCAGCCTGGGTCTCGGTGCTGGACAAAGTGCTGTCCCAACCCCTTCCTAGCTTTGTGGAAGCTGCTGGTGGGGGGCCAGAAGACACTCAGGAAAGCTTCCCCAGACCTGGTCCTGGTCTGCGGTGCCACACTTGCTGGCTGGTGACGTACTCATGTCATGTGACTTGAGCTTCCAGTCCTTTGGAGGCTCCAGCAATGAGGCCGTAAGAGTGCTTTCTGTCAAGATGCCGAGAACAAATGCCAAGGCATGCCCGGATGGCTGGTGTCTCGGGAAGGAATGGGGCTGCGGGGCCGGCCTTGACCTTGACGAGGTTTGCCTCCGGTTGATTTCCTCATCCTCGCCGTGGCGCACACTGTTCAGAGGTGTAAGATGGATGCATTGCATCTTTCAGGCTTTAGCAGTACCTTAGCACGCTTAGCTACCGGGAGCTCGCTCATGATTGGTCCTGTCTAGGGGTCTTAGGTCCTTTACTGAGCAAAGCCTCATAGCTACTGGTGGGTTGGTTCAAGCTCCCAGCTAGGACTCCCAGATGCCTGTATGAGGTCTTGTCCACCTGCTTCCTGGGGAGGAGGAGGAAAAAGAGGAGGAGGAGGGGGAAGAGGAGAAGGAGGAGGGGGAAGAGGAGGAGGAGGAAGGGAAGGAGAAGGAGGGGGAAGAGGAGGAGGAGGGAGAGGAAGGGGAGGGGAGGAGGGAGAGGAGGAGAAAGTAGGGGAGGAGGAGAAGGAGGGGAAGAGGAGGAGAAGGAAGAGAAGGAAGGGGAAGAGGAGGTGGAAGAGAAGGAGAAGGAGGGGGAAGAGGTGGGGAGAAGGAGGAGGAGGAAGAGAGGGAGGAGGAGGGGGAAGAAGGTGAGGAAGAGGTGGAGAAGAAGAGGAGGGGGAAAGGAGGGGGAGGGGAGGAGGAAGAAGAGGAGGAAGGGAAAAGTGAGGAAGAAGAAGAGGAAGAAGAGGAGGAGATGGTAGGGGAGGAGGAGGAAGAAGAAGAGGGGGAGGAGGAGGAAGAGGAGGAAGAGGGGAGGATGGAGAGGAGGGGGAACAGGTGGGGAGAAGGAGGAGGAGGAAGAAGAGGAAGGGGAAGGAGAGGAGGAGGAAGAGAGGGAGGAGAAGGGGGAAGAAGGTGAGGAAGTGGTGGAGAGGAAGAGGAGGGGGAAAGGGAGGAGGAGGGGAGGAGGAAGAAGAGTAGGAAGGGAAAAGTGAGGAAGAAGAAGAGGAGGAAGAGGGGAAAGAGGAGGATTGTTCAGACTTCCCATGCAAGAGAGTGAGAAGTGGGGCCTGAAAATCAGTAGCCCCTGGAGGCTCCCCTTTATAACCCTGTGGCCACTCTGGCATCTGGCTGGGTCCCTTCCCACCGCGGGTATGCTGCAGAGCTGTCCCGGGCTTTGCTCCCATCAGTGGCCCAGAGGCTTCGTGAAGAAGGGGTGTCATCTCCACCAGGGCGCTGTCTCTCCCTATCTGCCCAGCCTTTCCTTTTTTGCCTCTCCCTCATGAGGACTCCAGCCCTGACCCAGCCCTCACTCTTCTGTCTGATTCTGATTCCTCTGACAGGCCGGTTAAGGACGGTGGAACTGAGGCTGGCTCTGAGGTCACTAGGCCTGATTTCCCTGGGCCTTTATTCTCAGTACTGGCTGTTCCTGAATGTGTCAGGCTTCAAGAGCCCCAGCTCGGCCCTGGCCTGTATGCTGCTCACCAGATCTCTGCTGGTCCACCCATACCTGCACGTCAACATCTTCCAGGTGAGCGCTTTCCCAACACCCGCCCCCCCCCCCAGCCCTCCAGGGTCACTGGCCACAGGCTGAACTCAAGACCCATCTGTCACAGCTGCCCTTCCTGCTCACCTTAGAGCCTTGAGGCGTCTGGGGGAGGACCTGGCGTCTCCTCACAGTGGTAGCATGCCTCCATCCTTGCCTGGATGCCTGTGGGGGACAAAGTGGGGGTGCAGCCAATGCCATAGGAAAGGAGCTAGGTGGGGGAGGGAGTTCTTTCTGGAAGGCCAGGGGCCCAGCATTCAGTACGGGTGCCATTTCCACAGGAGAGCCTTCCTACTCCCCAGCTGAAGGAGACCCTGAGTTAGAGCTCCTGGCACACTAGAATTGCTGATGATCACTTCATCCCCTGATGGTTCCCGTCTTGCGCTTGTTCTCCAGCAGTGAAGCCTAGTGGAGAAGGAGATTCCTGCATACAAGTGTTGAATTAAGTACACGAGACATGCAAACATGATCTTGAAGCAAGAGTCGGGTTTTGACCAGTGAGGCATGCAGGGAGGTGAAGGCTTGGTACCATGAGAGCAAGCGCTAGGCAAGCCGGGTATTCTGGGTACTGGGTCTTGGGGGTGTGCCTAGACTCCAGGACGAGTCCTTTGTTGTCCAGATGGGGGGAAAGAGGCCTAGAGGTGGGGAAGACTCAGCTCAGGGCCCAGCCTGAGTTAGCACTGGAGCCCCAACCTCCCCATAGCTCTATCAGGTCCTACGAGAGTGGGATTTGGGGAGCAGAAGGCACAGGGTCCCTATGTGCTCAACCAGGGCCCCTGGGACAGGTTGGGGTGGGTTCAAGGCTGTCCTGGCCTGACCCCCGTGTCTGTCCCAGCACCTTGGATTGCCCATGTTTGCCCCGGACAAGAAGCCCAGCCGAATTTACATGATGAGCCTCGGTGTCCTCAACCTGCCCCGGCTGCCAGTGCTGGACTGGGTGTTCGGCCATTCGCTCATCAGCTGCCACGTGGAGCACCACCTGTTCCCTGAGCTCTCCGACAACATGTGCCTCAAGGTAGCCGAGGCTGGGCTGAGGAAGGGGATGCGCAGTGCGTCTGAGGGAGGACCGTGGGATCCCCGGAGCCCACCTGAACCCCGAGTCCCTCCTGTACTGGCCTGGCCTGGTCACAGTCACCCAGAAAGGGCAGCCAGGAGTCCAGTAGCCACCATGAACTTCAGAACTGAGCTCACTGGGTTTCTTACTAGCAGTGTGATTCTGGCAAGTTCACTGAACTTCAGCTTCCCTGTCTGCTAGAGGTGTGTGTGTGTGTGTGTGTGTGTGTGTGTGTGTGTGTGTGTGTGTGTGTGTGTAGTGCCTACCTGGAGGAGCTTTGAGGTTGACATGAGGCAGCAGATCTGAAGCTGAGCGCCAGTGGCTCACGCCTGTCATCCTAGCAACTCAGGAGGCTGAGATCTGAGGATCATGGTTTGGAGGCAGCCCAGGCAGGAAAGTCTATGAGACTTTGAGCTCCAATTAACCAGTAAAAAGAAGCTGGAAGCAGAGGTGTGGCTTGAGTGTAGAACACCAGCCTTGAGTGAAGAAATGTAGAGACAGCACCCAGGCCCTGAGTTCAAATTCCAGTACTGGAGTGTACATCACATACACATGAAAAGAAGGAAGGAAGGGAGGGAGGGAAGGGAAGGCAGGCAGGCAGAGAGAGAAAGAGAGAGAGGGAGAGAGGGAGGGAGGAAGAAAAAGAGAATGATAGGAGGAAAAAGGATCAGGAATGTTTGACATGAAGTTTGGGCTTGGCAAAAGGGAGCTGTGCTTTTCACTGCCCTCTGCCAAGAGGGTTGTGTTGCGGCGGGAGCCCGTGGGAGGGCGGGAGAGCCCCTCCTTCCCTTGTCTGTAGTCGAGTTGGAGTAGACAGGAGTTCACCATCACCACAGCCCTGGGTCATTTCCCAAGCCGGGGCCTCCCAGCATCCTCTGGGAGGCAGGTAAAAGCTGGGTGGGTGCAGGGCCGGCCCCTGGCACGCACAGAGCCCTCCCACTCTGTCTTCCTCAGGTGAAGCCCTTGGTGTCCCAGTTCTTCCGGGAGAAACAGCTGCCGTACAATGAAGACTCCTACCTGGCTCGGTTGAGACTCTTCCTCAGTCACTACGAGGAGTTCATGGTGCACGCCCCGCCCATCACTGAGCTGGTGGGGGTGCAGTGAGGGTCGAGCCCTGGCCCAGCAGGGCCTCCATGCTGGAGGCCTTGGGCAGTGGCCATGCCCGGCATCCTGGAGGTCACTTTGCCCTGTTTTGCTTTTTATTTTTCTGGGATTCTAGGGTTGTGTGGGGGCAAGAAATATGGTTGCTGGCCTCTGCTAGCTCCAGTTCAAGATTCCTTCTGCTGCTCTGTTCGAGCTAGGCTAGGGTTAGAGGGTGAGATGGGATTCTGTGGCCCCGTCACCTGGGAGACAGAAGGGAATGCTGGGAGAAGAGCTGATCTGCTTGGCCTGGGGTTCCCTGGTGCCTGAGAGCCACACACTAGCTCAGCCACAACTTCTGAGGCTCTGCCCCCACCCCCGCCCCAGGAAGCACAGGGCACTGTCACTTTTGGCAAGTGTCCCTAGTTTCTCAGTCATGGGAGCCTGTGTATTACCCAATTTTGCCAACTCCAAGGTCCAGGGTAGCAGTGAGATAAAAGGGAATCATTTTGTGGGGAAAGCGAAAGGAGCTAGTGCCTCAGGGACAGTTGGAGGAAGAGTATTGATAGCTTTGGACGTGACCTTGGTCAGCTTCAGAAAAAGCTGTTCCATGATGTTTAGAAGCAGTGAACCCGGGAGAGAAAATTACTGGCAGGAAGCTGAGGCTGGAGGAGGATATGGGACTCTGGAACCCAGAAGGCCTTCGAAGAAAATTAAGGGAAGGAGGCTGGGGTGAGATAGAAGGGCTTGAATGAAGATTTGGGCTCAGCAGTGCAAGGATGGTTTGATGCCAGACCCAGAAGACTAAGCCACTGTCACAATGAGATCTCAGCCCATAGTAGGAGGAGTTGAGAGAGGCTGGGAGCTTCCCTTGACAGAGCTGGATCCTCTCAAGGGTACAAGGAAGGGCCGAGGTAGAGGCTGAAGGAGACAGAGGAAGCCAGGCCTGTGACAGGAAGCCAGAGACTTCCTTGCCTCAACACTGTTGAGTTTGTCTAGCTAATTCTTTGTTGGCTCTGCTCTGCATTCTAGAATTTGGGTGTGTGGTGCCAGTACTGGGGCTTGAACTCAAGGCCTGGGCACTGTCCCTGAGCTTTTTAGCTTAGGCTGGTGCCATACCAGTGCCACAGTTCCACTTCTGACTTTTTTTTTTCCTTAGTGGTCTCATAGACTTTTCTACCTGGGCTGGCTTGGACCCTTGATCTTTAGCCTCCTGAGTAGCTAGCCTGATACATTCTGGGATGTACAGTTATACTTCCAGCTCCTACTTACTTGATGCTGGGAGCCCAAGTTTATGACAATCAAAAATGTCTCCATATATGGTCAAATGTCCCCTGTGGGACAATATTGTTCTTGGTTTCAAGCAATAAGTCATTTTTCTGAGCACACAATTACCTTATTTTCCAGTTAAATCTTTGGATGGATGAAGAGCACACTGACCCTGAGGATGAGAGGCTAGATGCCAGCAAAGGGGAACCTTTGGGTGGGCAGAGGGAGGAGAGGACACAACACTGCATCCTTGGAGAGGCGTCGTGTCACTGTGTCTAGCATGGACTAGGCAGCTCTGCCGCATAGCTACCATCTGCCCCTCCAGGTCCTTTCTCCTTCCCTCTGTGTGGGCCTCTTCTGACAGCGTCCTAAGCACCTTCAGGTGCTGTTCCCTTCACAACTTGCCACACGACTCCCCCCTTGGCTTCTTGAAGGCCTGTCCTGGCGGTGGCTCCCAGTTGCTGTGCTGGGTTCTGGGTGCTTCTCTGTCTCCTGAGGCTGTTCACGCCTCTGCACAAAGTTCTTATCACTTAACCCTCTTCACTCATGCCTTCTGAGTGAGCCATCTGCTCCCCGCTGGGAGGCTCACTGATAGAGATGTTTGGGATCCAAGCAGCCCTCTTGGAACAGGGCATGCTTGGCAGCCATCCTGGTCTAATGCTTTGCTCTATGTTCTTGCTGCTCTTTTGAAATGCATTAGTAGCTCAGAATGCCCCCCTCCCTCCTGGTCTGGGAATGTGATTCATCAAGCTGTGAATTCTCCATATGAAAAAATATGATGTCAGGAAAAGGCTCAGCAGATGCATACTCCAGCCGAATGATTAAACCATCCAAATACACAAGCAATGACTTGGGGTTTTTCATCTGGGCCTAAATGGGGGGATAGGAAGCAGTAGGAGGCCCTGACCAGCCCAGGCTGTACTTTAGAGACCCCAGGAACAAGTCATTTAAGTCACTGTGGAACTTGATTTTCTGTTGCTCTGAGTATGTGGATTGGGGACACCAGGGCCTCGAGAGGTGACAGAAGGCAATAGGTGTGAATGGAGTATTTCTAGGGCCTAATTTGCAGAGGTAGATCCGAGGTGACAATGACACTAATAGCTACCATTTACATGTGGCAGGTGTTTTTACTTATGTCATCTACTCTATGTTTTTGTTCCAGGAGTGGGACTTGAACTCATGGGCTCACACTCTCCCTCAAGGCTGGTGCTCTACCACTTGTCTCACACCTTCATTTCCATCATCTAATTTTCTTTTCTTGTTCTGAGACCAGAACTTGAACTCAGTACACCAGACACTTTTGCTCATTGGCTAGCACTATCAACTGAGCCATGCTGCCAACCCAAAGGGTTACTTCCTTTCTTTCTTTTTTACTGTCTTTTTCTTTTACTGTCCTAGGGGCTTGAATTCAAGGCCTGGGCATAGTCCCTGAGCCTCTCTGTGCTCAAGGCTAGCGCTCTACCACTTGAGCCACAGCGCCACTTCCTTCCATCATCTAATTTTAATATTTACAAGAGTTATTTTTCCCTCACATTACAGATAGGAGAACTTTGTGTCACACAGCTAGTATTACCTGAAGAGGGATTTAAATCCAGTGTGGGACTCCAGAATCTATATTCAAAACCATCACATACTATTGCTCAATGCAAAGCCCTAGAAAGCTTTCTAGGTGTCCCACCCTGGATTTCCATCTCTTTCTTCCATGAGAGACAATAACCATTTTATCATTAAGATTTTTTTGGGGGGGCAGTGCTGGGGTTTGAACTCAGGGTCTCACACTTGCTAGCTAGGCTCAGTATGAGTCACACCTTCAACCCTTTATGCTTTTAGTTATTTTTCGGGCAGGGTCTCAAGCTTTTGCTCTAGGTTAGCCTCAAACTGCAATTCTCCTACCTATATCTCCCAGTAGCTGAGATTATAGGTGTGAGCCACTTACACAAGAATCAAGATAAATTCTTTGAACATCCACTGGGAGTTAGGTACTGTATGAGCCTCTGGGGATAAATGAGTAAATGAAACTGGCCCCACCCTCAGGGAGTTAACAGGTTAGTGCAGGTGTTGTCAAACTCTTTCTAGAAAGGGCCATATACTCAATATTTTTTGGTGTTATGGATCATACTGTCCTTGCCATAACTAAATTGTGCCATCAAAGTGAAAAAATAGCAATAGATGGTATGTTAAAAAAAAACACAAAAACAAACATAGCTGTGTTCCAATAAAACTTTATGTGTAAACACTGAAATTTGAATTTCAGACAATTTTCATGTCACAAAATATTAAACTTGTTGTTGTTGTTGTTCTTGTTGGTCATAGAGCTCAACTCTGGGCCTGGGCACCGTCCCTGAGCTTTTATACTTAAGGCTAGCACTCTACCACTTTGTGTCACATCTCTAATTCTGGCTTTCTGGTGGTTAATTTGGTGATAAAAGTTTCATGGACTTTCCTGCTAGGGCTAGCTTTGAACCAGGATCCTCAGCTCTCAGCCTCCTGAGTAGCTTGGATTACAGGTGTAAGCCACCAGAGCCCAGATAAACTTTTAAAAATCATATATCTACATCTCTCTCTGTCTATCTACCATCTATCTATCTGCAGGCTGAGATCACAGGATCCAGATTCAAAAGTATCCCAGGAAAGAATGCTTGTGTGACTTTTATCCCCAATTAACTAGAAAAATCCAGAAGTGGAGCTAGGGCTCAAGCAGTAGAGTGCTGGCCTTGAGTAAAAAAGTTAAAGGACAGTGTCCAGGTGTTGAGTTCAAGTCTCAGTACTGGAACCAGCAAAAAAAATAATGCAAAAATAATTCTTATGACTCATACAAAACAGGACGATTAACAGCTTTGGTCTGCAAGCATAGTTTGCAGGACAGGCATGAAACACAACATCACATTAGAGAAAAAAAGACTATTTACTTGTTGGTAGGAGAGGGCACAGAGGACTCCTGGGATACTATTCTATTTCTCAGTCTTGGTGGTGGTTACATGGTTATACCTTGTGAGAATTCATCAAGCCATCCATTATGATTTGTGTGCTTTTCTGTCTACTATACTTCAATAAAAATGATCAGAAATGATAAGTGTGTAATCAGTGTTCAAAAGAAATTAGAGGAGGCCATTGTTTTAGACTAAGCTCCCGTCTGAGGTTCCAACACCAGGTTAAAAATCAAAGTGGAGGGCTGGGAAGGTGGCTCAGTGGTAGAGTGCTTGCCTTGCATGCATGAGGCCCTGGGTTTGATTCCTCAGCACCACATAAGCAGAAGTGGTGCTATGGCTCAAGTGGTAGAGCGCTAGCCTTGAGCTGAAGAGCTGAGAGACAGCACCCAGGCCCAGAGTTCAGGCCCCATGACTGACAAAAAATAAAAAAAAATAAAAATAAAAATGGTGTCATGTACTTTCAAGTTCATCAAGGGGAAATTAAGTTTTGTCTGACTGCTGAGAAATCAGGATTGGGAGACAAAGGCCAAATTTCCCTGTCACTTCAATTTCAATAGGCAAAATGTCTTTCCTTCTGTTCTTTATTCCTCTCACAAATGAAGTAACCTGAAATAACCTGAAGTTAACTAATCAGTTATTTTCCTTTTATTTCCTTGTTTCCAGTTTACAAGGAAAGTAACTTAAGCCAAGACTGGTGGCATATACCTACAATCTCCACCCTCTAAAGGGTGAAGCAGGAAGACTAGTTAGTGGTAAGCTTATGTTACAGTGAGGCCCTATCTTTAAAAAGAAAAAAAGATAGGCTAGGAACGTGGATTAATGATG